TCTTTTCAGTTGTTATGTAGCAAAAGAAGGTAGCACAAATACAGGCCTAGAAGAATTTGTTGTTAGGAAAAAAGGCAGTCTACCAAGGTTGCCTACAGCACACAACAAGAAGACCAAAAGTCTGTAGGTCTCGATGAAAGGATGGCACCGGGAAAGGGTTAGAGTCTGGAGATCCACGCTGCAACTGGACCCTAGAAGCAGACTTACACATGCCACCAGAGGTCTGCACAGCCATTTCTTGACCTTTTAGGCTACTCTAAAGAAGGGTCTCTTACCTACTTTAGTATGGCTCTCCTTCCACGGCTTTAATCTGAGCAGTAAGCAATCTGAAAGAGGACACCTGTGGCTGCAGGAATCAGCTCCTCCACTCCCAGGTTCATAGCACTCAGGCAGGAAGAAGAGGGCTCAGGATTGCTGCCACATCTTCTGGGTCAGCCTGAGATCTAAATGTTGGACTCATCAATTACGAAGGTTCTGCCAGCTGGTTTCCCATGTAGAAACAGCCAGTTGCTTCTCTTATGGCATCTGGTCATCTTATAAAACTCCGTGTCTCTAAAGTGGACGAGCTGCTAGAGACAGCCACTAGCAGAACACAAGCAAACCATGAGACTGGCTACCAAGGTGATGCTGGCGAGGGCCTCTGTGATGCGAGAGCACAGATGCATTGGGATGAAGGGAACGTTCAATCTGTATGCATAATCAGAGCAGCAGCTCCGCTCCCAACTGTGCAGGAAATCACGGGGAGAATGAATATTCATGTGCGTAACTTATTTCACGTCATTAAGCTGAATTGCTCTTAGTTTTGAGATTAAAAACTATTTGCCTCTCTAGTTCTCAGAGCTCAATTTATCCCTCCTTTAAAGAACAGATTTCTTAGTAGGAAAGAAAAAATACAAGTATCAGAAATTCAGAACTTATATACCCACTATTAGTCTGTGATCTGGGCACACTAACCTGAGACCATATAGTAGAACCTTTAAATCTGGACTCCTGATGCTGGGGAGATGGCTCAGTTCGTAAAGTACTTGTTGGCAAACATGAGGACCAGAGTTCAGGTCCCCAGCTCCATGTAAAAAGCCATGTGAGGGCAGCATATGTCTGTAACTTAAGCACGGGGGAGGAGAAGACAGGCCGATCCTTGTCTCAGCAAGCAAGACTCTGGATTCCACACAGGCCAGTGCATGCCTTTTCACAGGAACATATGCACAGACATACAACACACAGACACACACACACACACACACACACTATGTACTCTCAATCAGCAGTTAAATATATACTTTCAAGGCACTGTAACTCTTTGCTTCCTAGTCAATTTTGAGAGTACACACAACAAAGCAGAATGAATTCTAAGAAACAGCGGGACTTTAAAAAGTCACAAAGAATGATCCTTTAAAAATAAAAGATTTCTAGAGACAGCTATTTCCCACTGCAATATATAATTTAGGTGTGGACTTATCTGGGTGCTATTCAATGCTTTAAAGTTAAGGGCTCTACAGAGACCGAGAATGACGAGAATGACAGCCATTATCCGAAGTATTTAGAGCTTATATGAGCACAGACAAGGACAACATAATGTTAAGATGAGAAAGCAGGCTGCCTGGAAGCGAAATATGATTCACAGAGTATCAGAAAAACCTCAGATGTAAATTGCAATGTCAATATTTGATGTACTTTCTTTTTTCTCTTTCTCAATGCATTTTTCTTCTCAGGCTGTCTGTATCTGGTTTTAAAACTTAGTGAGCCAGATAAGACTTAGGACCATGTCAACTTGTTACTTCCAGAAATATCATGTACAGCACTAAAGAAAATGATGGAACCATGATCTGAACATGTCTTTACAGTTTGCTGGTGAGGTTTCCATGCTGAATGAACAGGGTGAACATTCAGGAATGCTCATTCACAGGGATTCTTGGGACATTCGTTCTCTTCAGGGTTTTAGCATCTCTGAATCTCAGGTCCTTATGGTTTCCCTAAGGAAAGCTAAGACCGTGGCAGGTCTTTCGTACACACCAAGGCTACCAGCAGAAAGGCCTGTGGGAGGGAGCAGAAAGGTGACAGACAGCAAGGAAATGAAGAAGAGGGTGAGACCTGGAGGGTCCCGGAACTCTCCTCACTAGCAGAGAGATGCCGGGAAGAGTGAAGCTGTGCAGTGATATTCTGTTTGTGCTCTAACAAATAAAGGCAGCCTAAAGATCAGAGGGTGGAGCTAGCCACTAGTTAACCACAGAGGTCTGGAGGTCTGAATAGACAGGAAATGATAAGGCTGGGCAGAGAGAGGACTATAAGGTGGGAGCTGATAGGAGCTTGGCCCCTTTTATTGGCTGAAGAATTAGCAAGAAAAGAGCTGACTGTGGTTTACTCCTTTGTCTTTCTGATCTGTCAGCATTTACTCCTCAATCTGACCCTGGGGTTTTATTATTAAGACCAATTAGAATTCACGTTACAAAACTGCTTGAGCGTCCTAGTCCGTCTGTTTTAAGGATATCCGGGAGAATATCTGCTTGAGCATCACCCAGACTTCTGTGCCGCAGGACGGTGGACTTAGTGGAGCAACCAAGACTGACCAAGGCCTCTCTTTTGGCCTTCCCACACACTCGGTAAGTAACTGGCCTCCTTCTGCTTTGGATGGAGTACTTTTTGTTCTGAACCCTGACCGACATCGCAGTAGAAGATAACAAAGCGCAGCACAGCAGTAGAGTGCCAGGGAAAATGGCTTAAAGCATCCAACTTCAAAAAGAGCATGAAGAGGTAGCCAGCTTCTAGCTGACCATGAAGACTGGTTTCAGGAGGAGACCTGAAGAAACCACACAAAATGCCCAGGGGTTAAATACCCCTCACCAAGAGACAGGATTAAGAACCCATCTGATGACCCACATTGGAGCACCGGACTGAAATCTCAAGGTCCAAATCAGGAGCAGAAGGAGAGAGAGCACGAGCAAGGAACTCAGGACTGTGAGGGGTGCACCCACCCACTGAGACAATGGGGATGTTCTATCGGGAACTCACCAAGGCCAGCTGGCCCAGGTCTGAAAAAGCCTGGGATAAAACTGGACTCGCTGAACATAGCGGACAATGAGGACTACTGAGAACTCAAGAACAATGGCAATGGGTTTTTGATTCTACTGCACATACTGGCCGTGTGGGAGCCTAGGCAGTTTGGAGGCTCACCTTACTAGACCTGGATAAAGGTGGGTGGTCCTTGGACTTCCTACAGATCAGGGAACCCTGATTGCTCTTTGGGCTGACGAGGGAGGGGGACTTGATGAGGGGAGGGGGAGGGAAATGGGAGGCAGTGGCGGGGAGGAGGCAGAAATCTTTAATAAATAAATAAATAAATAAATCAAACAAACAAACAAACAAACAAAAGAACCCTTCTGACACCAAACAACAACAGTGACAATACCAGCAAACAAACAACAAAACCCCAACCCCAAATACTGTTCCCTTAGTGCTGGAAATGCCAGTAAATGGTTCAGGAGCACATTGAATTATCCGCTCTTGAGAATGACCACAGTAGCCAACCATTACAAAGCACCATGGCATCCTATGGTCTTGTTCTTAGCCTTTCTGAGAACTCCCTCGGACCTCTCCTCTGTCCTCTGAACTGCTGCTTACGCTCATGGGGTACAACTCATGCATTCTGCTGCACCGTACGTAGAAAGGACCGACTAACTGAGAAACCAAATTTGAATATTCATAGTCCATATTCATAGCAGGCTAGTGTATGTTATTTTAAATTTCTTCAAGCCAAGAAAGCTGGCCATATTAAATGCCCTTTATGTAGTTGAAGCGACCTAAGTCATTCACAGAGGAGCCTTTCTGGCAGTTCTGTGGGTGAAACACTCCATGCCACGCCCTGCTTGCTCGCACCTGATCTGTTTCTGCAGACCTAGTGTTTCCCCACTCGCTACCCTTGCACCTACTTTTCTATGCACCCAAGGGAGAGAGGCAGAGCAAGAAAACACAACAGATAAGCAGATGTAACCACCATACTTTAACTGGCCAAAGATCACGCTGAACTCGGGACTGACAGATGTGGCAGTTCTGAGAGGCACTAATAATAGCATCCTTACCATAGTCATCAAGGTCTTATGTAGAAAACAGTGCATGAAACTTCTCTGTAGCTCTATGAGTGATGTGAACAAAGAGAGGTCATTTTAAAGCATCTACTCATGGGCTAGGATGTAGCACATTAACAGAGTGCTTGACAAGCACTTCTAAGGCCCTGGGTTCCATCCCTAGCACCACCAGTAAATAAAAAAAAATGTAAGAAATTACCGATGCGTGTGATTGGGTTTGAACACGAATTCAAGGCTAGCTTGTGTTACATGAACTCATGTCTCAAAAAGGTGGGTGGGGGAGGGGAGAAAAAATAAAAGGCCACAAAGATCAGTGGGTCAAAGGCACTTGCTACATAAATATGAGTACCTGAGTTTGATCCCCAGGCCCACACAAAAGCTGACATGCGGCATGAACATCTGGACTCCCACAGTCTCAGAGGCAGACAGGAGACTCCTGGCAGCGATTGGCCAGCTATCCAGCCTTGCTTATGTAACAGGAAAACAGAGACCCTGTCACAAATAAGGTGGACGGTGACGACTGACACATGAGGTTGTCCTGTGATCTCCATATGTACACTGACACAAGCATATCCACGTTCACATGTGTGAATGGCCACACGTGTACATGTGTGCACATGCACGTGCATGCACACACGGCACTGATTAAAATAAAATGATGAAAGATTTATCTTTTTGCATGGAGCCATGTGTGTAATTCATTTCTACAAAACATAATAATTAATCGCAAAGGGAAACAGAGGGGCTTTTCTTTAAATGTATTTTTGCAACAGTAAAAATAAAGCACGCCCTTTCTCCTACACATGAGGCAGGGACAGGCGCATCTGGTTGCTAGAAACACAATCTCAAAGGTACTGCTTTTGGCCAGAGGTGGACAGAGGAATAGCTTGATTGGCAAGCTGATCGAATGAATGTTACCTGTTTGAATAAAGCGTGGTCCTGTCCTGTGGACAGTGTTCACCGACATATAAAGAAGAAGATGAGATTGTGGTCGCTAAGGAAGCAGCTTCGAATAACGATGGGGTGCTGGGTACCAGGTCTGGCCTATGTCGGGATCCCAGGGCTGGGGAGTGAAAGCAAACACACATTCGTGAATCTCAGTAATGTAGGCTACCTGCAATAACTTAACTTAGCTAAGAGCATTCATTTTACGTATCAGGCTGCAAATGAAATTACGAATTAACTGTGCTCTTCTGAACTACAAGAGAAATGTAAAATATCTGCTTGCAAACAGGTTAAAGAGAAAGGAAATGACATTAATTTACAAAATGGCTTATGGAAATGACATTAGGGATGCTCTTTTAAAAACCTAATAAAGTGATTTAATCTTTCAAAATGATGGCATAAAAATTCCTAGGAGTTTAAGGAGATAATGTGGCAGAGATTAAAAGGATGACTGGCAGATGCATGAACAGAGAGAGGACAGGCTTCACCCTCCACATGAGAGGCGGACTCCAAGGGGCACAAAGAAACCCTTTAACAGAACAACAGCCTGCCACGTCTCAATCCCATCGGAGCCTTCACAGACTGCTGGACATGACTCAGGGCTTTTCTTAACATTTATTTTAATAGCAAGGCTGCTTTATAAAAGTGAGAAAGCTCTTATTTCTTTTTAAAATTTTAGGAGTTCAAGAAAGTATTTATGTCAGGGCCGTCCACGGTCAGAAAGGATAAACCCTCCAGGCTTAGCAGTGACCTGGAGCACATGGGTGCTCCATCCAGGGTCCATAAGGGTTTTCCTCTCTCTTTTTGAGACAGGATCTTAGTATATACAGCCCTGGATGCCCTGGAAAAGGACATTGTTATATAGACCAGGCTGCTCTCGAACTCACAGATATCTGCCTGCTTCTGCCTCCCGAGTGTTGGGATTAAAGGCCTGTGCCACCATATCTGGTTTATATGAGTTCTTTATCTTTTTCCAAACTGAGCTGAAAAGATGTTAATGAATACAGTATAGCCTTGGGGTGTTTCTGACATTGCTTGACACACACAAGGGTCCCCGATGATGTATTTTCACTGTGTAAATGGAAAATGGCCACTCCAGGCGTTGTCAGATGAGTTTGAAGGCTTGTTTTTTGGGGAGGGTGAGAGGGTAGTAATTTGGGCTGACACTAGGGCCCTACACACGCTAGGCAAGTGCCCCCTCAATGTAATTCCAACCCCTGAACTTTGTATTTGAAGGAGTTTATTTGATGAGGTTGAGGGACAGGCATGGAGGGAAAGTGGAGCAGGGTCAGGAAATGCTGAACTTTGGTTCTAACGTTTAGACAATATGTGAAAAGGTGCCCAAATCTGTAAGCAACGTACCAATTCATGTGAAAACAAAATCCCCAAGCCCAACATAGGCGTACATCACGCACAGGCGTATATCACACACACAGGCATACATCACGCACAGGCATACATCACGCACAGACGTACATCACGCACAGGCGTATATCACACACACAGGCATACATCACGCACAGGCGTATATCACACACACAGGCATACATCACGCACAGGCGTACATCACGCACAGACCCACATCACGCACAGGTGTACATCACACAGGCGTACATCACATGCAGGCATACATCACACGCAGGCGTACATCACACACAGGTATTCTGGGTACAATGGAGTCTATTTAATTTCACTATAGCTACTGGGGAGCCCGAAACAGGATGACTGGGTGTTCTAGGCCAGCCTAGAAACTTAATAAGATTTCAATTAAAAACACAACACAAAGCAAAAAGTGTCTGTTAAAACAAGAGTTATTTAAGAAGACAAATTTGGTCCTGTTTCTTGAACTGGACAACTATAGTTTTCCGTGTGTTCTCATAACTCAGGCAGCCTGCTGGGGGAGAGGCAACGGGAGGCAGCTTGAAGGAAGGGGCTGGGTATCTACCAGGAACTGCTGTCATCATTACAGAGAGGACCAAGGGCAATGTTCTGGCCACTTGTCCTATTGCTGTTACAAAGGCAACCCGAGAAAGGAAGGGTTATATTCCAGCTCCAGGGTGCAGTCCACTATGGTGGGGAAGTCAGGACAGTGAGAGCCTGAGGCGGCTGATCCCAGTCATCTGAACAGGAAGTAGACAGGGATGAATGTTTATGTGCTGCCGGCTTCCCCCTTGTTGTGTGATCCAGGATGAAAGCCCAGGGGATGGTGCTACCCAATCTTAGGGTGGGTCTTTTTTTTTACCTCAGTTAATCTAAGCTAGGCACTCTCATGGGCATGCTCAGAAGTTAAACTAAGCTAGACAAATCTTTATAGGTATGCCCGGAGGTTTGCCTCCTAGGTGTCTCTAGATCCTAGAGCAAGTAGACAATAAAAACCATCATAGGCGAATCACTAATTCCCTTTGAAGTAACCCTAGACATGAGAATATGATAAAGAAACTCAATTTAGTATCAGGAGACAGGTGCTGAGATAGAAAGGGACAGAAATAGCAATCTGTCTGAAGACTCCAAGGAAAGAACGTGTCCACAAGACGTCTTGAATCTTCTACGGGAAGTAAAAGACACTTCGGAGAGTCTCCAAAGAACATCATCATCATCATCATCATATCAGGTAATGGTGGCACACGCCTTTAATCCCAGGCAGGTGGATCTCTGTTCGAAGTTAGCCTGGTCTACAGAGCTAGTTCTAGGACAGCTAGGGCTCTTGCATAGAGAAGCCCTGTCTTGAAAAACCAAACAAAAAAAATTCTATATTTTTTTTAACCAAAAGACCAAGAAATAATTGACAGAAATATACAAAACTTCCCTTTATTGGATTAAAATGGAAAATTCAAAAGTTAAGCTCAGTAGATAGAGAAAAGTTTTTAATAAAATACAGTACTCCAGTTTGGTTAAAAAAAAAACTTTTTGGCAAATTAGAAACAAGAAAAGAAGTTCTTTGGTCTGGCAATCAGTAGGAAATATGACAAGTTTCATTTTAAACAGAGAACTGTTAGAAACACTGTCTTTAAAATCAGGACAAGGCAAGGCTACCCAAGGCCACCATTTCTGTCCATCACTGTATCAGCAGAGTCCCAGGCAGAAGCAATAGAGAAAGAAAGAGCACAAGGTCTACAGAGTAGCACCAAACGCCAGGACACACAGGTCTTAAAAAAGGCACAGAGTCCACATCAATCTCTCTGTTCATCCACGGAACCCATCTACCGTACTAAATAAGGAAATCCTAACGTTTATTTAAATGCACTGAAGTAGCTCTAAATAAACTGAACAGGTTTATTACATCACTTCCACATGTGTGTACATAGGTATACATGCGTGTACATGCCTATATTGCACATACACACAGAATAAATAAAATCTTAGGAAAACAAATACCAATATGTTTGCATTTGTTATCATGAAGTAGGTAGATTATAGATGTTTTCTTTAAATATCTTAATATTTACTATATCTTATGATAAATCATATGTCATACATTGTTTATATGACACTTCATATTTATATAAATTTGTTGTATTCTCTGTAGCCTATAAAATTTTATTAACAGGCTATCTCTTGGAGCATGCATTTTCTAAGTTTTCTGCTGTGGCTTTACATTACTCACAGAATTTACTAGAGTTTTTCTGTTTTAAGAGGTCGCAAGCGCCTTTACCTTCCTCATCCAGGCTGCTGAAACTTGTTCCTTCAGTTAACAGATCCCGCTTCTCGTCCTTCCAGTCCTGGGTGACGGAGGACACGATCTCCTGGGAGGTCGCCTTCAACGCGGCAATGGAGTTGCACCGTTTCTTAGAAGGCGAGGCCTTCAGAGCTAGACAGCAAAGAAGAGAAACTGTAAATCCAGGGACTGTGCCCTGCCCCCCCTCCCCCAAGGCCAGGCACAGCGGCAGTCCCAGCACTGAGGCTGAAGCAGGAGGGGTCGGAGCTGGCCTGAGTTACACAATGAGATCCTGTTTTAAAACGACCACAGAACTAAAATAATAAAACTTAAAAAAATCAGATTCAAATTTCTAAATTTATTATTCTATTTATTATTAATAATTTAGAAATAATCTGGGTATAGAAGGGCAAGAGCTCATTTCATATGCATGGTAAGGGAGATTAAAATATCTGTGTTTTGTCTATATTATTTGTTCAGAATGACTTGATTTTAAGAAAAATATTCTAAAATACATTTGACTTGGACTTTCTTTGGATTTTGAAATAGTCTTAGTTTGAGGCAAGCTTTAATTATAACTTTTTTGTTGTTGTTGTTAAAATTGCCCTTCCTCCTCCTTGTTTTCCTTATGCTGGGAGGAGGCTGGGTGAGCTGGTAGATGCAGATGGCGGAGCGTTCTCACGACCCCAGCTTTATTAACTGGGGACCGGGATTTACCAATGTGCCAGTGCTTAATCTTGTACGCATGTTGCCCAATTTAGCCAAGTTACTTCTGGTTGCTTCTTTCTTTGTGATTTTCCACTGAAACTTCCTTCTCTTTGGTCTTGTCGGATGCATAATTCACTCCCATTGCTATCTGAAGGGCATTCTCCAACCTCAGAAGCATGGTAGGAAGCCAGGCCAGTGAAAATGCACTTCCCCGAGCCATGCTGAAGCCTGTGGTTCCACAGAGAACAGCCTGGCAGGCACTGCTTAAGCTATAGTCTGATCCTGGCCACTTAGTTCATGCTTTCCCACAGTAACTCTTCTTGGCTGACTAAGGCTAGAGAATTTCATTGGAGGAAGTTGGAGGGAGAGAGGGAAGCTGAGACCTGTTTATGTTTCCCCTGGAACTTGTTACTGGCAAGAGTCCTTCGGAGGTTTGCTTAAAAGGGGTGAGCTGACAGCAACTGGATGAGTCACTGGGGTTAGCTTTGGGACTCCCCTGAGCTTGGATGGCACGGCTCATCAGCCCTCTCTGTGGACAGGGTTCAAGAGATTAGGTGGAGAGTGACTCTGGGATTTGCGAATGAAGGGAGAATAGAGCGCAATCTCCCTGCTTTTGGGAAAGGCTCCGCTCGGCTTCCCCAGCATTTTCTATTAACACCATATCATGACAAGTGATGTTTGTGGACTAGGCTGTAGTCTGGAGGCCAGCACTCACACTGCGGATCTCAAACTGTCAAAATGTCTAAGGGAAGCCGGCCCTTTTACAGGCCTAGAAACGGAAGGCAGAAAATTGGGCTTGTTCCAGGTCACAGGGTTAGAGAGTGAACCCCGGGGAGCCTCTCTTCTGTCTTCACCTGTCTGATTGATAGATGATTTTCCAGCTCTTTAGCATTCATCTTCTGGTTAGGGTGTACGTGTGTCAGGTGAACCTTTTGGATGTTCAAACAACTGATCTTGCCATTCCTCTTGGTTGCTCGCAATTGATTTCAATGATGGCCGAGTGGACCACGGAAGATGGCTCTCCCTCACACCGTATTCTGCTGAGCACTGTTCCACTCTTACAGAGTGGAGTGAGTGCCCACCCCTGGGGTCTGCCATAGCACCCCCTCTGCTTTTGCTAATTTCTTACGAGCTGTGATATATTCCTGCCCTTTGCTGTGGGATCTTTAGATGTCAAAGTAAAGCTTTTTGTCTTTTTTTGATGTCTACGCCAGAGTTTATGAGCTGTGATTCAGGGACTGCTAGGGGTCCTTGACCCCGCAGATGGGCTTCAAGGTGACTACTACTATAAGAATACAAAGGCATTAGGAGTTTATCAGAGGTTGCATGAACTATGCTGTTATCACGGGCCGAATTTAGAAGCAGATGCAAGACTTCAACTCATCTCGACTAAGACAGCTACTCAGAATTGCCAAAGAGTCACATAAATGCCACCTTTCTCACTACTTGTTTTAGGAACCATAATTATCACCACAATTAGTTTTACATTCATAAATTTTTAACCGATTTACATTAACATACTTAAAATCTTTGTGTGTGCATATGTATGTATACATGTGTGCGTACAGGAGTGCCCCAGCATTCATGTGGAGGTCAGAGGACGACCCCAGGTATCAGTCCTTGCCTTCTACCTTGACAGAGACAGGGTCTCTTATTTGCTGTTGGGTACCAGGTCAGGCTAGCTGGCCTGCACACTCCCAGGAATTTCGTTCTCCTGACTCCATATCCATCTCCCTGCAGGAGCGCCTGCGTTACAGGTGCTAGTTCATGCATCTGGCTTTATATAGGTTTTAGGAATAGGAACGTATATGTGTGGGACAAGTGACCCACTCAGCCCCACAATGGGTTTGTGTTGTTAACTGATAAGAACCAATGATTGATAATAGATTTTTTTTTCCAATTCAGATTTCTATAAGATGTAGACAGTTCTTTGGGGTCCTTACTAACTTTTAAGTTACCCTAAGACCGAAAGGTCTGAGCATTGCTTCTCCATTCCGTCACTCTTAGGCAGATGCTGATGTTCAGCACTGAGACCCAGCTCTGGTAGTGAGGACATGGGCAGTGAGAGTGGCCGTAGGAGGTCAGAAAGGGACAGTGGTGGACAGTACTCAGGAGGATCGATTGGGGGGTGTGAAAAAAGAAAGACAGCAGAGGGGTCCCATTAACAAACCTCTGTCAAGAGCATAGAACACCTGGAGCAAGAGTAACAACGTTGCCTTCAATGGTGAGTTCCTTATTCCATATCTGAGCCTTGCCCTTTTCAACCTTAGAGGGCTTGCATGTGGCTGAAAACTGAATGCATTAGGGCTGTCTCAGGATTTTTAATCTCTCTCTCTTCTAAGACGAATGTGACAAAGGTGTGGCAAGTGACCTTAGCCCCACAGAAGGTAACAGACCTCGATGGGAAGGGAAAGTTACCCAGGGAGAACTGTATAAAAAAGAGACCAAGTCCTAGCCTGGATCTAGAACACGCACATATGATGGTAAGCCACAGTCGGAGAGACATCTAAGGTCACCAAAGAGGAACACGAGAGTCTGAAGGGACAGAATCATAAAGGACAGCGAAGGAAGGAAGGAAGGAAGGGAGGGAGGGAGGGAGGGTAGGAGGGAGGGAGGGAGGGAGGGAGGAAGGAAGGAAGGGACTATACCCAGAGTAGCAAAAATATCAACAGACAACTTACATCACGTTCCTGATAACACACTGTATCCAGTACATATAAAGAACTTTTAAAAGTTCAACAACAGGCAGACAACGGAACTAAAAATGGGCCAAGAATCTGAGTAAACATTTCCCCAAAGAATATACAAATGGCCAGTGAACACATGGAAAAATGTTCAGCATCGTTTGTCACTGGAGAGCCACAAATCAAAGGCACAGTGAACTACAACTCTGCACACACACACACACACACACACACACACACACACACACACACACACCAAGACGGCTGAGACGAGAGAGAACCAGCAAGCCGCTGGTGAGGAGGAAGACAATGATTCCCTCGTATGTTGCCAGGGGGACAGTGAAATGGAGCAGATGCTTGGGAAAGGTTTGCAGAGTTATCATGTGACCTAGAAACTTCACTTTCAGCTACCTATACAAAAGAAATGAAAATATGCACTCATTCAAAACCTCACGCATGAATGTTCACAGCAATAGTGTTCATAACAGCCAGAAAGATAGGAATGAGCTATCGACTGGGAATGAATAATACGTGGCATACACGGAATATTATTCACAGTAGAAGAATAAAGTTCCAATACATGGTACAACCTACAAAACTGTATTAAATGTAAAAAGCCACATGTACAAGTCAGATACTACGGGTTTCTAAGATGTCTCCTGAATTGGTAACACCACGGAGACAGAAAGAAGTGCTGGGAAGAGGAGGGATATGGTGATTGTTAATGGGTGATAATAAAAACATTCTAAAATTAGACAGCTGTGATGGCTGGATGAGTCAGTGCATATATTAAATCCCACAAAACTGCACTTTGTAATACGTGATGTGTATCTTAGCAAAAATGGTCTTAAAAAATAACTCCAAGTGAGAGAAAGTTAACAGATTTACTACTTAAGAAGGCAGTCTTGGGCCTGGAAAGTGAGCTCAGTGGTCAAGGGCATTTGCTGATTTTGCAGAGGACCAGTGTTTGGTTCTTAGTTCCTACAAGATAACTCAACAACCATCTGTAACTCCACTTGCAGGAGTTCTGGCTCCGTCTTCTGGCTTCTGTGGGCACTGCATGCACATGGTGCCCATGTATACATGCAAACGAACATGCATACACATAAAATAGAAACAAGTTAATCTTTTAAAAAAAAAGGTAAGATGTGTTATATTAAAAGCATAATATGTCAGAGACTGGAAAAGTCTGTAACATGTGCTGCATTTTTGGAATGGAAGAAGCTTAAAGGCATCGGTTTATGTTACTACATTAAGGCCCCCTTTTCCAGAATTGGGTATGTGTATGACGCAATAAAGGCCCATGCCCTTTTTAAGCTTCAAAGAAACCAAGGCTCAGGGGGAAGAGAGGTTGAAAAGCTTTGAAACTATGAGTTCCAAGTCTGAACGCAGAGACTTGCAACCTGAATAAACACTACTTCACGGTCAGGAAAACCTTGGGCAGAAAAATCTAATTTATAGCAAGTCTCAACTGAGTATACTTTTTAAGATGCCATTGAAATCATCCACTGTGTATAAAAGTTGGTCCCAGAAAAATGAGATGTAGGTTTATACAGATGTAATTCATTTAAGTCATCTGGAAAAATAACAAATACCCAATATATTACATAGCCTAATTCTCAAAGGAATTATAAGTGGCTGAAAAACCCTGAGTAATGCTGGAATCTAATCAGTACTTGAAAAACACCTAATAAAACAACCAGGTGGCATTCTTCTATTTCCCAGGCTGGCATAGTTGAAGAAGCCAAGTGCAGGCTGAGGGCTGCATCTGGTCTCTGCAGTTACGTACATTCAATACTCTACTACCACATCTTGAACTCTATCCCAAGTAAACAATCCTAATTTAGACACAGCATTTACCTGAAACTATGTTCCTAAAAATATTAGTCAGAACTAGGCAAAGGAGAAAGGATATAAATGCCAAATGCTCAAAGAACGGCTAGCAGACTATGGCACACCCCTATAATTTTCATGCTGCGTTTCCGTTTTAAATGATGTTTAGAATATTCAAGGATTTGAGAAACTATTTATATTATAATGATATGCAAACATCGGCGGGTAGAAGCCTAGCATGATTTGCCAATATGCTGCTTCTGTTTGTGTGTGCGTGTGTGTGTGTGTGTGTGTGTGTGTGGTGCTAAGTCAAACTTGAATCTTGCACACAGCAGTCCTGCCCTTTGTTGGACATCAGCTTTAAGAAAACAGACAAAGTATAAGAATAAAAATTGGGAGGAAGTACTAGGCAGCTCCGGGCAGCTTCCTCCCAAATTTTATTGGCTTTCAGGTTAATTATCACAGCTTCTTTTGCATTCCCAAACTACAGCAAATATTGTTAGAAAAATTTATGATGGCTAGTATCATGGTTTTGGGGTGACTAATTTATTATGATTTGAGTTATAAAGTTGGACCACAGGATAATTAAGTGATTAAGACAACAACATGTGTATAATATGCTCATTCTCCACTTGCCACACAGTTTGACACGTACACAGTAACTTTCCCTTTAAGTATTAAGATAAATAGATAAGATGCTATATTTGACCTTGATTCAAAATAATCATCATTAGCTTTGGGCTCAGTTTGTTCTATTTATTCAATTACTCGTGGTTTGAAGGCATGGTACTGATTTGAGAGCTTTCTCTCATTGGGTTTTTGCAGAGCTGGGGATCAACGTGGGGGACATTGTGCTGGGCGAGCACCAAGCTAAAGCTGTAGGAGCTTTCTTCAATTTTTGATATAGGAATTTTTAATCTATAGATTTGTCCTCGAGTGCTGCCTTTGTAGTTTCTCACCATTTGTTTCTGTCTTTTTTTTTTTTTTTTTTTTTTTTTTGAGAGAGGGTCTCACTGTAGTCCCCAGACTGGCCTGGGGACTCCTGGTCCTCCTGTCTCAGCATCTCAAGGTCTCAAGTGATGGGATTATAGATATTTGTCACTGTGCCTGATGGTGTGTGTGTGCTTTCATTTGTCTCTAACTTCTTCCTATTTGATTTCTTCTTTGAACTATTGGCGCCAATGGCTACATATAAATAAATCTATGTTCCAACAACTAACTGTACATAGTGTACGTGTGTGGGCATGCATGCACGCGCATATGTATGTGTGTATGTGTGTGTGTGTGCGTGTGTGTACACATGTGGAGGCCAAAAGGTTGATGTTGATTGTCTTCTTCAATCATCCTCCACCTTATTTATTTGCTTGTTTATTTATTTATTTTTAATTTATTTATTGAGAAAGGGTCCCCCATTGAACATGGAGCTTATGGATTGGCCAAGAAGCGCTAACCATTTACCTGTTTATACCTCACTGCAGCACAAATTATTCTTTGTTCTGCTTTTTTGATTTCTGTTTTGTTTTTCTAGACAGGCTTTCTCTGTGTAGCCCTGGCTGTCCTACTCGCTCTGCAGACCAGGCTGGCCTCGAATTCACAGAGATCCGCCTGCCTCTGCCTCCTGAGTGCTGGGATTAAAGGCTTGCACCACCACCCCTGGCTCTGTGTTCTGCTCTGTACACGGTGCTAAAGGTCTGAATTTGGATCCTCCTGCTCTTACTTTACTGGTCGAGCATCTCCCACACCCCAGCCTGCACTTTTTCTTGACATAAAATGGGTTAATCATTATGGCATCATTAAATAGTGGTATTTAATCACAATTAGTCATTATTACCACTGCAGTAAAAACACCCAACTCTTCCAACAAAAATTTTCCACACAGATAGGGTGACGTCAGTAACAAGTGCTACAAACCAAGAAACTTTCTTAAGACTCTTACCTTGAATTTTCTTGAAAACTCTGGAATTCATAAACTTTAAAAATCTATCTGCATAAAAACTTGGTCTGTGAACGGAAACAGTGTCCTGAAAAAAAGAAAAAGACGACAGGTTTGTCTCTTAGAGTTCATCTCGAGTTGGCAGAATGGCTGTCAGTTAAGGTCTGAAGTCAAACACGGCCAACAATTAGAAGGAGCAGAGAGTCTATGTGCTCAGGATAAAATGGAGCATGAAGGGACAGTGAGGCAGCCAAACGACTGCTCCATGAACAATAATTGTTTGTCCTGTCACAACACCACCAGGGCTTACAGGGACTTATATATATATATATTTCTTTCTAACAGACAACTGGCAATCCAGGGACCATATGGAATGAAGGGGGTCACTTGAAATGAACACACTATTTATATGAGGTATCCGTGTTTATAGCTAAGGCACCTGCAACTCCACAAGGGGTGGTTAAGAAGGGCAGAGATCTCAGTCACATCGTAAAGAACAGAAACAGATTGAACTGAACGGCCAGGCTCCTCTCATGTTCTGCAGGAATCCTTAGGAGTGACAGGTCATTTTCCTAGACAACAGCCTGGATGAAGGAGCTGATTCTCTATGTTCATCTGGTAGATGCTCTATTTTGAATATAAGTTTCTACCAGATGAACACAGAGAAACTTCATTTTAAGGACCCCAATCTTCCAGAGCCTTTGAAAAAGCCCCCTCCACCTTAACTCATCATGTCACAAAGGGGACCTTTGCACCCCAATAGGAACAACCACGGTTTTATTTTCCGGGGCTGTACCTGGCTGTTGGACTAGAAGGCATTTATTTGAACAGCTATTCAAGTTTACGTGGTCTTGTTCTGAGACTAGAACCACTCTTCCCACCTAAGATTCTGAGCACGCAAAGACCTCTGCTTTCCTCCGAGTCTAGTGACAGCTACAGTTGGCTAGAAGTGTCCACCATTTAAGAAGGCAAAGGTCACTCACCCCATCATAAACAAGAGCTTTCCAGGAATGTTCTAACTTCTTCATCAACCTAAAAAAATAAACAGATGGGGAAAATACCACTGAGAATGCAAAACCACTTTCACTTCATGAATTTTCAGAAAAAAAAAAGTTTGATTACTTTTAAAATAATGGAAGACCACTTGCCCAAATATCTCACCTATATGATTGGAGAATATCAATAATGCCCATGAATAAAAGCAGCTTTTCTCCCTTATGGCTTTTAGCTGGAATGCCTCCCATTCTGTGGACAGAGCAAAGGGGAAAAGATTTTATGAGTACAGAAAGCTAAAATTCATTACGAATTATACACTGAAAACATTAAGAATTCTAGACTACCGCTTCCCTTATTGCCATAAGTTTTCATCAGCTTGAAGGATAATAACTTCATAGCTGTCAAGTCTGAGCAGTCGGATGGGAGGAATCTAATTACAAAACCTCTTCTTTTTAAAAATTATGAGTGAAGGAGGATTTTTAGAGCAGCACAAGAGATCCCTTTTTTAAGAAGGCAATACTAGCCAGCATCGTGGGGTAGTGCCTGCCAAGTATGCCTGAAGCCTTGGGGTTGATCACCAGAGCTGCAGAAAATCCCAAGCATGGTGGCAGACACAAGAAGTAGAGGCAGGAGAATTAGGAATTCAAAGCCATTCTTGTTTCCGTAGAAAGGCCAAGGTCAGCCTACATTAAAATAATATTACTTTCTGAACTAAAGAATTTTATGTTTTTTGTGAGACTGAAAAATACATAGAGGCCTGTTGTGGTAGAGCACACCATTAGTCCCAGCACTCAGAAGACAAAGGCAAATGGATCTGTATGTTCAAGGCCAGCCTGGTCTAGACAGTGAGTTCCCAGATAGCCAGAGCCACATAATAGAGAGCTCCTGTCTCAAAAAAAAAAAAAAAAAAAAAAAAAAAAAAAAAAAAAAAANCCAATCACCATTCCCCACCCCCCACCCCCAAAATAGAAGAAGACATACAAGAAAATTTGTGCAACTAACTCCTCAGATACGTTTGTGCAGGGTGGGTGTATGTATGGATGGACATATGGATTAATCCAAAGAGATTATTGGATTGAGCGGTTTTGTAACTTCAGCATTCCTTTTGTTAATGTGGAATCCTTTCTCACAGCGGTGGCAATATGATTGACAGCCGTGTGGCATTTCCCAAGGTGGATACAGACTCACTGCTTCAGTGGATTACCGGCTATTTAGAGAGAATTGCCAGCAAGGATTTGAACCAAGGCTGACCGCGTGTTAGTGTCCTTGACGAGAGACAAGTGTGCACCCGGCTTAGTCTTTGCCTGAGAATCCTCGAAAGCAGGACATCAAGGCCTTGGGAAATGACTTCCTCTGTCTCCCTGCTCAGCAAGTTCGCACGATGAGTCAACCTTTTCAACAGCCTTCCATGGTTGCTTTCTACTGTTGAGTGTGCACTTTACATATGCAAATGAAGCCCGCGGTTACTAACACATCTGGCCCAGGAGAGAGACATCTGCCAGGGGTGAGACCAACAGAACCTCCTTATATAGATCACAAGCTCTGAAGTGCCAGCATCCTTCGTACCATGTGTTTATGTAAGTAAATAAATGAACAGGAATAAACATGTACTCATGTTTATTCAAATCCAGAGTTCATCCTTCCCTCTTCTGGTAGATGTTTTGAATGTGTAGTGAGTGAGGGGAAAACATTTTCAGCCATTGTTTAAAAAAAATACAAACTCGAGAAACTGACCCTCGTCTAGCTGTCTAGAGATGAAGAGAAATAAAGTTGGTTTAAGCCATTTGCTGCCAGCCAGGAATCTATTTCCAGGGTACCATCCCTGGGGGAGGTGATTGCGTGTACCTATTCAGTGACTGGGGTATCCAAAACCAGGACGGAGGCGTGGATGCACTTACGTGTCTGGATTCTCCGCAATGATCCCATCTGCAGGCTTGCCTGGACCCTGGATGGATTCCATGGCCGTGGAGTAGAGGACTTTCTGTACCCCCGGCCGCTTTGCGTCGGGCACATTTTGTAAGGGCTCCTCTTCTTTGTCTTTAAGGGAATGGTCCAAGATGTGGATGCCCAGCAAAAGGCTGTAGTCCATGATCTTGAAGCTTTCCAGCACCTGAGGAAGGAAAAGACCCAGGGGGTCCGTCAACACAAAGAGCCTGTGAGTTCCTGAGCTTGGTGTCAGGAGACACGCCAGACCTGCACTTGAGAGGCCGACAGGCAAAACATCAAAACCAGAATCCTCCTAGTTATTATTAGGCTACTGGCAGAAAGGACTGCCGTGGTGGTGGGAAAATAAAATTTTTATGCAAATCTAAAGGAAGCACCTCTCCCTTCCACAATGGATTCACTTACAGCATTTATTGATTGAATTCCACAAACAAGAACCGCCCTTGGATTCAGCCGTGGTAACAACACTGTGAGCCGGTATTACTGCTGTCTCTGGTACACAGATGAAAACCATGGAGATAAAAGAACCTGCTTGGTTCCAGACAGCACATCAGGGACAGATCCAGGAGGCAGACTCTGGCAATCACATTCTTCCTGAGCCCAGGAACCGAGAAACCACAGCCCAGCGTCCCAAGTGCATCAGCCCCAGCAGGAACTCAGCTTTTGCTTGGGTTCCATTCTCCACATCTGAATCTCGAGTTTAGCGAGGACCTTTTCTCAAAGCCTAGCTCTCAAAGTTGTCAATCATTTCCCCAGAGCGGGTCTTTTTAATTTAATAATATATATGTGATCTCAACAACGAGAGGACTGAATGCTTGTCTACCCTATAGACCGTGGGGAGGGGAAGGAATCAAAAATGGTTCAGTGTAGCCAACAAAGGAGAAAGCAGTGCTGTGAGGGAAAAGGATCGGACACAAGGTCTCGGCAACCGTCCCTCAGACTGTCTTTAGAGTGCAGGGGGACTTACTTGCACACCCAGACCAGCCTTAGACAGGAAGAGCCTGTTCAGGAGGCATGCCCTCAAGTCAGATCTTTCCCTGTATGAATATTCTCCTTTCCTACTAGGTGTGAGAGAGTTCTCCAGACCATAGATGGTTGTATTCCCTGCCACTTCCCACCAATAGCTGCTCAGCAAGTGAAAACCCGTTCAGTCACAGACAGCATATTAGTGACAGATTCATGAGGAGACTCTGGCTTTCACACTCATAATCAGAATTGATCCTTGGCCGATGTAGGATCAAAATCCCAGAATTCTTCATGCGCCTCATTTTCCTTGTGCCTAAGCATTTTTAGAGCAGATATTTTGCTATTTGAGAGGGGGTTGGATGGGAGAGAGAATACTTGTGGATGTATACAAGAATATTTCAGGGAGGCTAGGTGAGAAGGGCTTCATGAAGTCAGACAATGCATAGTCTCTGAAATATGCTGGTCCCTGGGGTCTCAGTCATCATTGCCATTAATGATGAACATATAATGGGCTGTGAACAAGTTTCAGTTATTCCAGAGAATTCATCCTTCAACTGTTTTTAAAAATAGCATTAGGCATGAAACAGAGCCTGGTGACTCTTCAACTTTTGATAAGCTAGTTATATTTTTAGAGTGGAGACAGACAACAATTGTGAGTAGAAGCATATCATTTGAGAGGCCTGGGATGATGAAATTATGTCTCCAGAGATCTGTGTATGCCCTTATGGCCACGGAAAACCAGCAGCCCCCACCCCAACTAACTGAAGTAGGAGTCACATCAGAAAGGGAGGAGGAAGTTTGGAGAGATGGGTGATGCTGAGGACCACAGGCTCAGGGCTCAAGAATCAAACCCATCAGTCAGTTCTCCACAGAGGCATGCCACTGCAGCCTTGCCCTTCCACCAAGCAGAGGACACCACGGAAAAGAAGCCTGCTTCGTGTCAGGGTGCCACTGGCTCAGCCTCTGAAAAGAAATACTAAGGGAAGCTGGACGTCCTTCACGCAGAAACAAGGAGGGAGAGCCCCAGTCCTACTCCATCATATAGAAACGATGGCTTGGGAACAGTCCCCACCCAGACAGCCCATGGGCAGAGGATGCATTTCCTGCACATTCATCAGCCCTGGGGCTTCCTTTCTGAGAGACACTGGTGGATAAGGAGCTGGGGTTAGAGAGCATAAGCCCCGTGACCCCAGGTGGGTATCCTTATGTGTAAAACTGTTAGAATAATATTGCCTGTTACATACGGTACTTGTGGAAATTAAATATGCTAATCCTGATGAATGCTTAGGAAATTTCCTCACATAAAGTAACCACTCACTTAACTGCTCTCTAGATTCATTATCGTGAACCATTCCTTGTGCTAGTTTGAGAAAACACATGTATCACTCACAAAAGCAAACACCTATGGGGTTCCAATTCCGAAAACAAAAAAATTCATTAAAAAGTCCAACAAAATACAGTAGCATTCCAGCCTGTTCATGGGTGTGGCTTTCAGGGGGAGTCCAGATTTCTTTAGAATCTGTGGGTTTTTAGTTATGTTTTGGGGAATTTGCATCAATTACAGACCAAACATTTATACTCATATCTTCCCAGTTGTTTCCTGCCAGAAATATAACGCTCATGAACTTTAAGAGAGAGCAGTAACTACAGCCCCATGCATGCAGGTGCATGTATTTCCAAAAAGTCTGTGTGATGTCACTGTGACTGCTGGGTTCTGTATAGCACATCTGCAATTCAAAACACAAGCTACCATATCCCAGGTGCCCTTCCATCTAGCTTGGGCAGGACTTGACTCCTTCACTGAGAGAGAGAGGCAGGAATAGTTCTCAGAGTTACAGAAAGACTGGAGTCAGGTTAGGATGTGGAGAAGCTTTAAAGTGGGATGGTCCCTTCTCTCTGAAGAACCATTTAAAGTCAGAACTACAGTCGGAACACACACTAGAAATTCCGGGAAGTATGTCCATCCACTGCCTTGCTAAGAGACCATGATAACTGAAAGAGGTTGAGGCAGCAGAGCAGTGGGCATGCAAGACGAAGACGACTTTGCTAAGTCAGCCCCTAGATTATGTGTGTGTGCCATCAGAGGTCGCGTTTAGCCGCCACCTTCCTGTAGGAAATTCCTGAATTGTTACCTTTGGCTCGTTCTCCTTCCTAAACTATAGCTTGTATATTCCCAGTGGCCTCTGGGTGTTTTTAAAGCTTCTTCTAAACACTTTATATTGTAACCTAAACTCCTGTTTTGTCCCAAAGCAATTCTTGCCCCTGACTTCCCTCTTTTATTTGAAATCACTACAATGTAAATTTTAGACTCCAAGGAGCCCTTTCCTTTCATTAGCTGCCCAGGCCTGCAGCTGGTGTTATCAAAACATTCCTCTTCTCTAATCGTTCCATTCCAGCTTCCCCTTCGGATGGTTCAGTGACCCCTTTGCAAGATTAGGTGACATCACACCCCGGCTCAAAGCCTCCTGACCTGCCATTGCTTGTGGCGAGATCTCAATTTCACATCAAAGGCATTTGCTCTCATGGCTGCAGTCCACGTCTTCTTGTTTGACACCAGCTTAGATTCACCTCCCAGCTACTTAAATTTCTAAGTTACTCTTAAGGGTGCCAGGAAGATGTAAGCCCCTGATGTTTTTGCTCATGCTGCTCCTTCTACAGACTTTTTAGTTTTTCAACTCAGGGGGGATTTTTTTTTTACATCCTAACTCATATTCCATGAAAGCTATATTACAAACGGTTGGGAACAAACATTCCCTCTGTGCTACAATGATCGAGCCCAGGTTTTGTCTGCAGTTTTCGTATCAGAATGAAGATGCTGTGCTCACCGAAGGCTTGTTCTATTCTGTGCTTCCTGAGGTGGAAGGAATGCACATTGGTTATATCGGTCCATATCTCCATGCAAATAAAAAAAAGAAGGTTCAGCCACAAAGCATCTCTGACACTACATTCCCGATTATGAGGCCTGTGCAAGAACCTCAGCACTGAAAACATTTACTCTGACTGTGTGCTGTGTTGTCAGAAAAACGAACATAAAAGTTCCCTGTGTTTTCCAAGCTACTTACATTACGGGCATTCTGTACTCTGTTCAAAGGGAAAACTAAGACGATATTTGCAAACACTGTCGTTTACTGTTTAGTGTGCACGCAACTAAATGGCAGATAAAAGGGAGGCTGTTTTGATGTAGACAAGGCTGGGAAGCCCCTTCCGTTGCTCTTTGGGAAGCCTGTCATAGGCTGGGTTACAAATGGACTCTTTAATCACTCAAGAGCATTCGGGACTGGCTCTAAAATGGAGGCTGAGCTGTGTAATACATAAAATTAAAAAGGATTAGAAATTGGGATACTGCCTATTTGATGGATACAAGTATTGCTTTAATATAGTATTTAAAATTTGATATGAATTTAAATGTAGGATATAATGCCTTGGGTATTTTATTTTTTAAAATTAAAATATAATTACCCCATGTCTCCTTCCCTTCCTGTCACCAAATCCCTTCCATGTCTCTCTCCCCTGCACTCTCAAATTCATGACCTTGTTTTCTTTCATTTAAAAAGGGGTCCTTAACATTAGGAGAGTTATACTGAAATATATGTATCAATAAAGGATATGATGAGTGGAATGTGCTTCCAACTGTATATAGAGAAAGAGTGAGCAAGACTGGCCGTGAGTTGAAAATGAACACGGGACATATATGCATATACCTATATGTATAAGTATATACACATACTTATATGTATTTGTAGATTAATTGTAGCATTCTGCCTGCTTTTATGTACGTTAGAACTTTTCAAAAATAAAGTTTCACGTTCTTCCTTGAGATGCTTAGAAAAATGCATTTTGATCTTTGGCTGGATAGTTTGCCCCTGCCTCAGCAACTGAAGGGGGAATGAGGGGACCTATGAAAACACAGATCAGAAATAGGGGACCGAAACCACGGCGGGCCAAGCAGAAGGCTGGCTTGGGCTCTCTTCTCCTCTCAACTGGCCATTCTTTGTCCAAACACACACACCAAAATATGGAGCTGATGGGGAAGATTCATCAAGGTCCCTGGGTAATTTCTCTAGCTGGTCTATATATAGTCACGAAATTAAGGGTTAATAACTGGTACAAAATATTTGTAGTAATCCAATAAGATAAGTCAATTAAAAATGGTATCCTGGAGATTTTATGCAAATAGCCATCCCTGGAATGAACTGATCT